GCATCCAACTTGGTGGACCTCCATATGTTCCAGCTGGAAAACTGGGAGGATGTGGAGGCATGTAGGTATTAGCTGCAGTAGCCCCTTGAGTAGGAGGAGGACCATATGTTTGATTGTAATTTGTTGGATAAGTACCCTGTAAAAAGAATAACAATAAAATATTATTTTACATATTTTATTTTATCAAAAATAATTCTTAATTGGGTTTATCCATAAACATTACATACCTGAGCTGTAGTGTAATTTTGTTGCTGCCAGGGAGGTATAGAACCAGGAGGCATCATTCGCGGCGGAGGTGGCATTCCTCCAGGAGGTGGTGGCATCATAGGTCCTGGTGGCCCACCAGTCATATAATTTTCCATTCCAGGTGGAGGAATAGTTGGAGGTAAGGGAGGGTTCATACCAGGCAAAGGCGGAGGGGGAGGAAGACCCATTGGTGGAGGAACAGGAGGAGGAGGAGGAGGATTGGGAGGTGGTGGTACCATCATCATTGGAGTAGGGGGAGGCAAAGGTGCAGGAGGTGGAGCATCTGCAAATAATTGATGAGGTCTATCTGCTTGTGAGAGAGGATTTTGTGCAGCAAGTAATCTAAAAAAGTATAATTTGTAAATTAATTTAAATTAATACCTAATAAATACTTTTTGCTGCAAAAAAAATTATTTTTCTTTGTTTATACCTCTCTGCAGCTGATCCATGTCTTTCACCTCTCGAGTCTTTTTTGAAGGCATAACTAACTGAAATAGGTCTATTACATAAGTATTGTCCATTCATGGCTTCTATACTAGCATCACTAGCATCGAAACTAGCAAAATTAATAAAAGCAAAGCCCTTGGAATTGCCCGAATCTGGATCTCTCATAATTTTGGGAGTTTGTAATATTACTCCAAATGCTGAAAATGTATCAAAAAGAAGTTTCTCATCAACTTCTGGATCTAAATTTCCTATAAATATATTGGCTCCTACATCTAAATTTTTTTGATGAGCTGATGCCTAAAAAAAAAAAACAAACATTTTTTAAGAAAATTGATTTTAAAGCCTGTACTTTTTTTAAACAGAAAAATCTTAAGTTAGACTGAAAATACCTTGTTTACTCTGATTGGCTTTCCATATAATTTGATCATATTCATAATTTTAATAGCATAATCTGCATCTTCTTCACCCATAAATTCGACAAAGCCATAACCCTGGTGCATTTGTGTAACCCTATCCTTTGGCATATGAACATTTACTGAAATAATGAAATTAAGTTGAAATGAAATGAAGTTTTTTCATTTTTAGTAACCTTACAGTTTGGCCTAAACAATGCCGGTAATAGTATAAATAATTAAAATATAAATAAATTTAATTAATTTTTTATATAAATATTACTAAAAACTGAAGTAGTAAACTATTAATTTATATTTAGGATAGACAATAAGTACATTCATACAACCGAAATGAAAAATTAATAATTATTTCATTTAGAAATATTATTAACTGTATAAATATGCAAACACAGTACCTACTGGTCCAGATTGAACAAATAATTCCCACATAAGTGGTTCTGTCACCTTGTCATCCAAACCTCCAACGTATATAGTTGCATCTAAAAAAAAATGTTTAAATTAAATATTTTTATTTCAAAGTTTAAAAAAATAAATAAAGTAATTCAAAAAAAAAAACCTTGATTTCGTTCGGCTATCGGTCCTGCCGCCATTTTTACGTGTTATTCCACAGACCTATTTCATAGCCGTTGTATTTATACAAAGAAACTTAAATATCTTTTTAATTAAATAAAATTTTTTGTAGGAAACATATTTGACATGTACTATAATTTAAAACTTTAAATAAGAAAACTTTTAATGGTTGTTTTAATCTAATAAAATATCTGTTTGAAATTCTATGTTTGATTTCCTGTACTCTGTGGTTAAGAAAGAATAAAAACAAGTTATTAATACCTTAACTAATTTTGGTTTCGTTATAGAATGCAAAAGTATGAAAAGTTGGAAAAAATCGGTGAAGGTAATATTTTGTTCTTTTATCTTTTATGATTTTATGTTAAGCATTAACTTCTTTCTTTTGTTTCAACAATTTTGACTATTGTCATAATACTTTTAATTAATTTTTTGTAGGTACCTATGGAACAGTTTTTAAGGCAAAAAACAGAGAAACTCATGAAATAGTAGCCTTAAAACGAGTTCGTCTTGACGACGATGACGAAGTAATATAAACTTTTTATAATTAAATATTCTTGTTGGTCGAGATATCTGTTTGGTTTAATCAAAAGTTTTTTGCTTAAAATATTTTAGGGTGTTCCATCGTCAGCATTAAGAGAAATATGCTTGTTAAAAGAACTCAAGCATAAAAATATAGTTCGGTTGTATGATGTCTTACATAGTGATAAAAAATTAACATTAGTATTTGAACATTGTGATCAAGATTTAAAAAAATATTTTGACAGTTTAAATGGTGAAATCGATTTAGACATAGTTAAAAGTT